TCTCCTCTCTGACACACACTGTCATAGGAGGCTGCAAGAGGAGAGCCCAGCCTCCTGTGACAGCGCTGGCTGTCTCCGCCACCACACCGCTCTGCTGCACTGTGATAGGCGGCCGAGCGGTGTGGGAGGAAAGACACCGGCCGCTCACAGCGCTCGTCCCGCAGCGCTCGGCCGGCTGTCATTTTCTCTCTGATTCCTTTCATCCCCGCTGGGCACTGCTCTGTGTCCCAGCGGGGATGAAAGGAATCACGGCCGCGCCGACAAAACGGCAGGAAAATGTCACTTTCGGCATTTAGCCGAAAGTGCCATTATCGGCCGGCGCCCCCCCTTCACTTTTCGCCCGGGGGCCCGCGCCCCTGCTGCCCCCCCCGGTTGTTACGCCACTGCTCTTAAGTACCACTCATCCTGGAATCAAAGTCCATTCAAAGTTACACCCTAGTTTACCTCTAAGCAACAGCCTCTCTTCTCTAAGTTCACCAACTTGAAGAGACAAGCATTTTAAAGCTGTGCTGGAGCAAGGGGTCCATTAATGTTTGACATCTTTACTGCCCCTGTTATTGCACAACTTTCACAAACTCATATTTGTTATTTGGTATGCTATTTGCACTTAACATTTCTTTTTCAAAGAATTTTATTGCCAAAATTGAAGCACACCACAATATGGCAAAGCACAAGAAAAAGATAATCAAATAGAACAGAACAACAATAATGGACAAAAACACACAATAACAATCATAATTCCTGAGTGCAAGTCAAAAGTTCAATAGTAGAGTGCATATAAAAACAAACAGTCAAATTGTGCCATTAGATAAAGAGGTAAGTACACTAGGGAATGGATGGTGTGCTTGTGGTAACAACAACAATATAAAATGTGGTCAAAAGTACCCCTCACAAAAATAAGCAAAGGGGAAGGCAGAAATAGAAAAAAAGAGAATAAGAGAAAAAGAATGGGAACAAAAGAAAAGTAGACGCAAAAAGATGAAGGAAAAATAAGGGGGGGGGGGGGAAAAAAAATTAAAAAAATTACAAAGTTAGTGTATCACCTTACTGGAAAGAGTGCCCTGCCTGTGTGGAGACTGCAATGGATTGTCTGAAATGGCTAGGCCCAAAGCCAGGGGACTAGCCGTGTGATTGCACTGAAGCCTAAGACTGGAGGTCCAGTGGTTATTACAGATGACAAGGACTAGTAACTTCTACCTCAAGTATTGCTGTCTCATGTTCTACCTGCTGTGCATGGAGACAATAACCACACTCTGCAATGTAATGGAGTCTACATCTGCCTGGATGATCCTATCTTGCTGCGTCTCTCCCTGAAGTTCTGCAAAAAAAGTTCTAAGCATCTTATCTACAGTCTGGACATCACTTCAATCGCTTACTCAAGGGGGCAGTAAGTGCTGATGGGCAAAAGCAAGTAAAATTACCCCTAGACAAGAAGAATTCGGAGTTGCAGTAACCCATAGCAACCGACCCTAGTACTCAAGGTGTGCTGGTGTGCTGTGGATCCATATACAGAGCAAATACAGGGAGACCTTTTACTGTAGATCACCCCTAAGGAGCCAACGGTAGTGTTATCCTGCATTGGTATATCGCTGACCAAGTAGGGG